TCTTCTTATCCCATATGTTTTTCTCTCCCATTCCTCTCAATCAAAACATGTAGTTAGGATGGAGAGATACCAAACAGTGGGATCACAAGCACAAAAAAATGAGTTTTCTTATATTAAAAAAAACTCTAATATTTTAAATGATATGACTTGTACTGCATTATTAATTTTAAATTTTAATATTAAATTTTAATCTCATTTATTATTATTCTTAAATAAATAAATTTACACTATACTACATATATTGATGAATCTTCAAATAAAAAAGAATTATTTATACGTGTTAGCTAAGCTATTAGGTCACTTTGTGCTTGATATTGTATCCAAAATGCTGTCCGTGTATCTTTCCGTGTATCTTTCTAAAACTTATTATTTTTTTTATAGTAATTTTTTTTTTACGTTGTTGGTTATTGCTACATATAAAATGGCAAGATTGATAAAAGTTGCCCCAAACTGTTTGAGTAAAGGTTTATAAGGATTTCAACTTTATATTTTTTTTTATTTAAAAATGTTAGCTTTGTCAATTTCTAAATAAAGATGTTAATTTTTAATTTTTTTTAAATAAGGATATCAACTTTCAACATTTTCTATTCAAGGATGTCAATTTTCAACTTTTTCTATTTAAGGATTATTTGAACAGTGACGCTGGCATGGCTTACATTGAAAGTTGACATCCTTAAATAGAAAAGATTGAAAGTTGACATCCTTATTTAAAAAAAATTGAAAGTTAACATCTTTATTTAGAAATTGACAAAGTTAACATTTTTAAATAGAAAAAAATGTAAAGTTGAAATCCTTATTTGCACCTTTACTCCAAATTGTTTACCCAACATTTATTCACCTATTTAAAATTAGTGATGAGTAAATTTCTCAAAAACTAAAAAAAATTAGTAATGAGTAAAGAAACTCTTTACATGTGACCCATTTTGCCTCTACCATTTAACCCAAGCCTATGAAATGAGGTCATGAATTTCCTTCCACTTCAACAAAAAAAAAAAAAAAAAAAAAAACCCCTCAATTACTACATCTTTTTCTAGCACAAATCATCATAACAAAAAGAAGTTATAAATATTATTTTAATATACTCTTAATGCAAACCAGGTCATAATAGACAGAGTCGCATAAGACCTTGTTTTGGTTCTTTTTCTTTGGTAGAATTCTCTATCTCACGAATACAAGTCAAACCCATTTCACGCTTTCTCAAGATGATTTACACAAGACTTCACCCCCACCCAATTTGCCTTCCTACCATTTGCTAATCTTAGTGAGACTGGGCCTACAGGGGAGCCGGGCAGGGCAATTCTGTGTTTTGCTGGCCTTCCGTAGCAATAACGGCACCCAAGTGGGGCGTTCAGCTGGGAAGAAAGTTTCTCTGAATTTTTTCCTTATATTTTTAGACTTATTTATATATTTTAATATTATAATAAAAAGAGAGTAAAAATAATATTTTAATTTTAATTTTTTAACAAAATTTTCAAATAAACAAGAGATTATGTTTAAATAAAATAATATATTTTATAAATTAAATTTATTATTTCATTAATGATTTGATTAAACTAGTTATTGTAGGTTAATTGTTTTTATTTGAATACACATTATTTCATAATAATTATTCAATTTATTCTTATTATTAATTTACAAATGGGAGTTATATAATCATGAATTATATAAATAGAACATATCTCTTTCTGAACTAGAGGGGTGTGCCTTCACATTCTCTTATTTTTTTATTTTATTTTATCTTCTAAATATTTTTAGATAAAAGAAGGTGTTTTAAGTTTGACGACTTTATAAATCGTATAAATTTATAAAATGTTATTATAAAACTGTAGTATTATAAGACAATATTTTATACATATATATCTCTGTTGCA